GTGAGAAGATATTGGACCCATTCCTGTATCATATGTATCATATAGCTATGAAGATGTCTGTGCTCCTGCAGATTTCTCTCTACATCAGCAGGTCTCTGCATAGGTAGGCAATCATCCTTGTAAGTTTTACGAGGTACTATTGGGACCTGGAAGTTAAGCAGTTTTATGTACCCAATTCCAATGGGATTCAATAAGATGCAATGCCTACTGATCAGTGTATTAGCATACTTCCAAAGTATACAACTCTGGATTCAGAAAGAAGGAGAGATACTACCATCAAGTTTTTAATCAGATCTATTTTCTTCATGATGACAAAGAGGCCTACATCATATACGTGGCTTGGCAGAGTATCTTTTTTGGCCTAAGAAGCAACACATACTTTTTGGCTAACATACTCCTGATCAGAATGTGGCTAGCCAACACAATTTCACTTAGAAAATGTACACTGACCAGCAAGCCACCAAATAACCTGATATGTTCTGATAGCTTCGGCCCTGTAGTCTTACTGTAAAAGAACAGAGTGGAAATCTGCCCTGCCATCTACAGGGCTGCTAGCATTTGTCAGGGTTGATAAATAAAAATTTTTAGTATCTCACTCTTCCATTTCAGGTACACATCTTCAGTGTAGATAGATATATGGTAAATTGGCAAATCTCTTCAGATGTGGTATTTTGTTTGTTTTAAATTTGTTTAATCATTCTTCCTTTTTATGTTCATCTAAGTGATCTAGTTTTAGCTGATAAACATCGAAAAATGGCCTTTTTCAGTCAGTGACTTCAGTGGAATCAAAATTTTTCCCCTGAGTACTACAGGATTCAAATTTCCTGCCTCCTGGAACTCTTTAAAGCAAAGTCTTTAGAAAGGTTGTAAAATCTCTTTTTGTGGACAAGCACAGAAGGAAAATATTCTAAAAGTGCCTTTCTCAAAGAAAGGATCCAAAATACATGAAGCAAGAGATTTGGTTAAACAGTGGAATCTCTCTGCAAATGATGTGGTACTGTATCAAAGACCAGTTGTGCGAAAAACAAAAATCAAGGTTATATTTTCTTTTCCTTCTCCATTTATAAAGGCTTTGAGGAAAATGTCCTTCTGAAATCAAGAACTAAAAGTTGTCAGCAGCCTATTTCTCAGCAATGTGCGCTAAGAACTCTTAAGAATATAAAACCAGAGTTTAATACAGAGACTTAAAGCCAATCTAGAAATAGAATCATTTGCATTCTTCTGCTGTATTCAGCCAACAATTTTTCCAATCATTCACAAGTAGACACATAGATAAATAACAAATATTTATACATAGAGTTTTTCTTTTTGATACACATTTTCAAAAAGGAAAGAAGCCAAAATATTTAATTGATGAGTTTTAATTTGCTGTTTCACTCCCACAGCCAGTTGTCCCAAAACACGTTCTCCCTTCCACAGTCTGACTGGCTTGGTGAATGAGGAGAGAGCTGTGGATGTCATTTACCTTGACTTTAGAAAGGCTTTCAACACCATCTTCCCCCTAACATCCTCATAGACAAACTGAGGAAGTATGGACTAGATAGACAGTGAGAGGGACTGAAAACTGGCCAAACTGTTAGACTCAAAACAGCTGTGATTACTGCAATGCAGTCCAACAAGAGGCCAGTCACTAGCGGTGTGCCCTAGGGATTGATAATGGTTCCAATACTGTTTAATATCTTCATTAATGACCTGGACAGAGTGCACCCTCAGCAAGTTTGCAGCTGATACAAGACTTAGAGGAGTGGCTGATACACCAGGTGGTTGTGTTGCCGTTCAGAGAGACCTTGCTAGGCTGGAGAAATGGGCCAACAGCAGTCTCATGAAGTTCAACAAAGGGAAATGCAAAGTCTCCCATGGGGAGGAACAACCCAATGCACCAGTAGAGGATGGGGGATCGACCATTGGTAAAATAGCCTGGCAGAACGCAGCTTTGCAGAAAAAGAGCTGTGGGTCCCGTTGGACAACAAATTGAACATGAGCCAGCAATGGGGCCTTGCAGCAAAGCAGTTCAACAGCATCCTGGGCTGCAATAGGAAGGCCATCATCAGCTCTTCCACAGCATGTCCAGAATCGATTATTCCCCTCTGCTCAGCCCTGGGGAGACCGCATCTGAAGTACTGTGTCGAGTTCTGGGCTCTGCAGTACAAAAAAGACATGGAAATATTGGAGCAATTCAAGTGAAGAGCCACAAAGATGATTAAGGGACTGCAGCATCTGTCATATGATAAGAGGCTGCGAGAACTGGGATTGTTTAGCCTCAGGAGAGGGCTGAGGGGGAATCTTAGCAATGTGTATAAATATCTGATGGGATGGTGATGGAACCAGACTCTTCTCAGTAGTTCCTAATGAAAGGATAAAAGACAATGGGAACAAATTAAAATACAGGAAATTCCATTTAAATGTAAGAAAAAGCTTTTTTTTACTGTGAGGGTGGTCAAGCACTGGAACAGGTTGCCAAGAGTGGTTGTGGAGTTTCCATTTTTGGAGATATTCAAAACCTGACCAGACACAGTACTGGGCAACATCCTCTAGCTGACTCTGCTCCAAGTAAGGGGTTGAACTAGACGATCTCCAGAGTTCCCTACCGATCTCAACCATTCTGTGATTCTGTGTTCTGCTACAGGTTTCTCTGACACAGGAGAACTGCTGATTTAGCACGTGGATCCTTATTTTCAGAATCTGTCAGCAGGAGGAACTGCTCCGGCCACTGCAAAACGGAAGACTCTTTCAAACCACAGAGTGAGGTGTTAACAGGGACCTGGCCAGAGTTCTTGGTCTGTTGCTTAGCAATCCTGCTGAGTGCCCTAAGAAAGAATAATGTTTTCCATAACTATAGTAGGGACCTAACACAGAAATCAGTTAAACATGCCACAGAAAGGCATATTCCCTTTAAACCAGAATTCAAGATACATTTCAGAGAGCTGTCTTCTGAAAGCTGAGACAAGGATATTGCCCCTACCTGGGGCCAATAATATATTCAGCTGCTAACAAGGGAGAAATATTGCCATTCTTTTGCTCTTCTATATAAATAATGTATATTTTATTTAGATATAAACATACATATATATATATATAAAAACACACATGATATGTAAAAGAAAACAAAAATAGACATGTAAAAAAGGGGAATGGAAAAAATACTGCCTTAATTTAAAATAAGGAACTTCCTACTGATTTTGTGTTTCTTAAGTTTTGTGCTTAGACTGTTAAATATGACACAATGTTAGCTATAGCAAACTTCAAAACAAGATGATTAGATCAGCAAGTAGACAGCTAAAGAGAATCAGACCTCACATATACCATGCAGTGAAACTATATGTAACAAAGCCCAGACTAAGATCTTTCTATTTGACTGAACTGCAGCAAAAGGCTTCAAGAAAGATACCTTATGATCCCAGACACCTGATGACTACCTGGACAACTGACCTGCGAAACTGTCGATCAGCGTTGATCAATGGAGATGATACTGATCAACACAAATGTTTAAGTATACATGGTATTAGTAGCATACTTGCTAAATGAACAAGGCTTTGGTAGCTTGGCCCCTCTTGAAACAAAAACTCTTAACTGGAGGCAAAACTAGTGCATATGAGTGCATATGAGTATCACTTGCATCACTGAAAAACAAAAACTGCAAATAAATCACTGTTATGAAGTGAAAGCCTTTTTAGAAATCAACCTTATTGTCTAAAGTGTTCTGTTACAAACAGCTTGGCAGTATCACTTGAAACGAAATGTCTTAGTTAGTTGGCTTCAGTTCTTCTGGAACTTTTTAAGAAGCCATGCTGTAGTTCATCTGAATATATGAAGTCAATGAAGTTAATATCTGCAGATACTATCTTCTCTGTTAGTCTCCCGATAAAAAGAGGATAAAGAGCACCGTAATTTCAGACTGAAAATCTCCCTGCAAATGAATTAGTGGAGAAAGGTTTAGCTGGTTTACACTTTTTTTCTGTTTTTCTACTGTTTTTCCCATATTGGTTACAGTAAATTGGTCTGCCACCGATAAAAAATGATAAAGATACAGACAAATAGACACAAACGATTTACTAATGAATATCAACACCATCCCTTGTCAGGATTTGGCTTAATCTTTTGCTGTGTGAGTTTTGTTAGAGAAGGAAATTGTAGCCGACTTAGCTTCAGCTTAGCCTAAGTCTGACTCCTGCTTAGCGTAAGTGCCTAAAGTAGGTGAAGGTGACTGAACTGTAACCCGAAAAGCATTGCTGACGATGCAACTGCAAAATCAGCTAGAACCAGCCCTCAAGGATACAAAACAGAGTGACCGGAATGAACAGAGGTAACAGCTGACCTTCGGATAAGACAAGGTACTGTGGAGCAGGAACACAGAAACCGTCTGGCAACCATCTCAGGATGTAGATGTGAACCAATCAGAGGGAAAGAAGGAAAGAGACCACTGACTCAGTAAAGAAGTATGGAAGATACTTTCACTGGCAGCTGGGGAAATAAGACTGTAAAAGGTATAATGACTTAAGAATTCTTTTGTCCTGGGTCCCTCCCCGCAGGCACCCAGCTGGAGCTGTTAGTTTGTTGTACTGTCATTTAAATAAATAATTAATTTAGCTATTGTATGTGCGTGAGACTCTGCTCCTCAGAAACAGAGGACTCTGCTCCTAGGGTTGAACTATTTCCACTACAGTTTGTTAATTAAAACCACGGATTTTCCCCAAGAAAAAATTCTTAAAGTGATGGTGAAATGAGTACAAGCCAATAGCAAGTTTCATCCCAACATGAAGCATTTCTAAGGAAACATAGTAGCAATGAGACCTGCTTCAAGAGGAGCAGATGCGCTAGATTTCAAAAAATGTTTGCCTCGCAACATGCTCATGGAAGCACTTATCTTATTTTGAAGATATGGAAAAGATCTGTATTGCCCACAACAAAATTGATTAAATAATATTAAAAATACTAAGTCAAGTTTTTTTATTCTACTTTCAAGACTTATTTGTAATAGTAGTATAGTATACAGACAGATTTATATACTAAATGGACTGACATACACTCCTCTCAAAATTTTCAAACACAGTTTAAGGTATTGAACAGCCTTTTCATTTTATGACAGAAATATAGTAATAGTCGGAAAATTTGACAGACATTAATTTTGGCAATCAAAATTAAGTAGCATTTCACCCAAAAATAATTTATTAATTAACAATCTTCTGCAAGGATTGCAGAGCAAAATATGCATAATATATATAGTAGTAGTAATATATCAGTTAACAAGGTTTATTTTTTCTATATATCAATGACCACCACTGTGTACAGATTCCTCTCTCAAAATGAAAACTTCAGGAATTGTTGAGGGTACGGAGAGCATAAATTAGGATGAAAATAACAGTATCAGAACAGTTCTTGTTTTATCACTTGCATGCCCACAGGAAACCATAGCAGGCTGGTTTCTGATGCCATTCAATGAGCCCACACGCAGAGCAGAACAGCTTCTACAAGAGAGTCTCATCCCAGCCTAATCGGCTGAGACATTCAAGTTTTGGGAACCTGTATGGTAAGAAAAAAATAAATAAATAAAGCCCACATACAACAACTCAACAAGCTATTAAGTATGGGAATAGCTATGCTATTAAGTAGACTGTGAGAAATACCTGCTGGAGGTTTCTGCCACGTTTTCCAAAGAAATCCTGATCAAGTCTTTAGCAGCAAACCTCTGACACTTGAATTCTTGTAGAGGTACGTTTTGGACAGTGCAAAGGAGGGAAAAAAAATCATTTTCAGACGGTCTAGCCAATAATTTTATGTAGTATAAATAAGTCATTAGATATTAACAGTCTCCTAAACTACTTACATGACCTATAGATCATGTAGAAAGTAATCATTGTTGTCCCATCAAAGTAGACTTTTAAAGCTTTCAAAGGAAAAGAAAAAAGGCTCATTGTATCAACTTTGCCATTTGAGAAGAGAGGTAGCTTTCTTTGCTTCCTCCATTAATGCAGCAGATTCAAAGAAACAATGAGAATACTGGCACTGCCAACTGGTAAGTATCTGAAGTGATTTTTTTTTAGCATACATCCCTTTCACCCTTGTGACTGTCCCTGTCTGAATGGCCATGAGATCCTCCCATTTATGACAGAAAGACTAGTAGGTGAGCCAACACATTATTGCCACTTGAACGTTTAGCTTTAAATTGTACCTTATCATGTCGTCACAAGAAGTAACGGTACAGTTTCAAATTCAGGCCAAAACTGCCTACTTTGCCTGTTCCTAAGACTGGTGCTGATCTTATGTATCGGAAGGATCTTTTTAGCGTGCTTCTCTGCTAGAAGGGCCATTTCAGTTTCAGTCCTCAGTCCAACAAGAGGTCTATGGGGGAAACAAGGCTTATCAATTGCTCTTCAGCTCTAAATCATTCTCTCGTTGATTGGAAGCTCACATGAAGGTAAAGATTTTGCATCTCATAACTTCAAGTTCCATGTTAGTGCACCTTTCTAATCAAATACCTTCTAACTAAGCCAAGGGATAGAGGAAGAAGTGAGGGTGAGTATGCAAAGTTTAGCAGTACACTTCATCTTCCAGGGATGCTTCCGCTTTGTCTTAGCTTCATGATAGGTAGCCTTCCTTCCCTAACTCCTGAACTAGCTCATTCCAGGTGAACTATTTAACTGGACTAAACTGGATGGTTTTTATGATGTCCTCTTCGAATGCTTAACTGTTATTTAATCCCTTTCTTTTCTCCCAGTTAATTTCAAATATAACAATTAATTTATTCTGTAAACTATAAAGCTCAGAATGTTTCATCAGGACTCCTTGCCCTCTTATTATAATTCTTTTCTTTTTCTGCTTATTGAGACATGAACAAAATGAACAAAAAGAGAAGAAAACAGAAGTAAAGGAAGGATAACATTTCAAGAGCAACTTCAACAGGATAAAAAATCAATAGGTACTGATGAAGGAGCCTGGGGTCTATCTTTTAGTTAGAATAAAGGCACCAGTTAAGAGTGGTTTCAGTGGAGTCAGGAGACTGCAGAGGGTTTTGAAGATTTGGAACGAAATTTGTGGTGAGTACTCTATGTGACATTTTCTGATGTGCTTAGAAAAGAGAGAACTGATTGCTGGATCTTACCTGGGGCAGCTTCTTAATACAAAAACATGCTTTTATTCTGAGGCAAAAGAAAGTGAGAAAGACTGAGAAAGAAGTAGGGGAAATAATGGCCATGGCAGAGATCGGAAGGGGGATTAGATCAGTGGAGCATGTAAATGGATTAGGAGGATACCAGATTGGCATATGCGATGAGAAGAGGGAGGGCAAGCCAAAGGGAAGAGGAAAGTTACTTAACATTTGGTCAACTTTCTCTTGGAAGTAGTTGGTTAGATCTTGTGCAAAGAGAGAAACAGATTCAGCCTTCAAATACTCTTTTTCTCCTGCTTCTATATCATGAAAGAGCAAAATTTATTGAGGAGAAATAGGGGTTTTGGCTTGGAATTTGTTATTACATGTAAGAATAGAAAGAAAGAGGACACTCAATTTGAGTTTTCCACAAAGTCATTTTGCAGTTTGAGGACAACAGGGAGAGGAAACAGTTACAAGGGGTGAATTTGCAATGACTTTGGCCAGGTGCACGTGTAATGAAGAGGGAGGCTAAAAAAAAAATATGCAGGTGTAGTGATTAACTGCAGGAGAAAACAACTCTCCTAGTAACGATGGAAGAAAATGAAGAGTAGGCTAGTAAAGAAGGTCACAGCAAAAAAAGAAGTCACTAACAATAATGAGCTAGTAGTGGCAGGAGCTCAAATAAAAGGATTTGAGAAGGCTTGATAAACGCTGTTTAAAGAGTTAGAAAGGAAGAATGAAGTTACTGGGAGGAGAAAGAAAAGCGCAAAGGTGAGGACAACTTTAATAAAAGGTCCTTTTAGTAGGCAGATCAAATTCTCAATTACAAGTAAGGAGATAAAGCTGAGGAAACAGGGCAGCTACAAGATGTGAAGGGTCATCACCCTGGAAGTTGAAATTACTAAGCAGTGAGTCTGGGATATGACGAAGGAAGAAAAAGATGACAAAAGCTAACCAATAACAAAAATCGAAGAGGATTTTTCCAGTCTGTGCTGCTGCTAGTGTCTAAAATAGTTTCAAAGCTGCTGATACATAGTTTCACAAAACCAGAGAGTAAGAAGAGACTTAACAAGATCACTGACACATGGATATGTCAACACAGATGACACAATGCCAGAAGGGAATATAAAATGAACTAGAGAGGTCACTGAAGATTAAAATTAATGTCATCGACCAAACAGTAAGACCTGCCTGAAAGAGAATTTTGCAGATGACAACCTAATCATTGTAAACAATTCAAAGTGGCACTGTATTATAAACTCTTGATTTTGCTTGCTTAGCAAGCTTGCTTAGTAGTTTGTATCTGTAAAAATTGAATATTATTTTATTTCCTATTGATATCTCTAGATCTCTGCTGTCTTTTCTACAACCTAAAACTGCTGCCTCTCAGAGAAGCTTGTGTCTTCAATTTGCAGAATGTTTTGGAAATATAAGGGACTGCTCTCTGGGTGCCTTATATTGTGAATGGTATACAAAGGGTGGAGTAACAAATTTACACAAAACAATGACTTTTGCACTAAAAATGAACCATGTAATGATTGAACTAGGAATCTGACTGAAATTGATGAAAACATTCAAAAGCTGTTAAGTGGCAAACAGATCAACCCCCTGCAAACACTGTAATCACATAAACTCCCTTTCCTTAGAAAATCAGCCTCCCCCCCACCCAAAGTATCTGCCCTGTACTTTAGAAACTGAAAAAAATAAGTTGGTCATGTATATGTAAAGATTCTTTGCCAGATCACAGTAAAAATGATGCATAGTATTTATTTCTGAAATGAATACAAAGAAGAACTGTATTTAAGTTCTAGAAAATACTAGCACTTACTTGTGGCAATATATTCCATGTTACAGTATAGCCTTTCTTTTTACTTCCTTATCTCATCTTACAAATGTGTGATGTCCCTATAACAAACACTAAAGAACATTTTTGGTCGTTTAGAATTTTAGAAATTTTTGGTCATTTAGAAATTTTTCCAAAATACAAAACCTGTTACCTGAATATCCCGCCAAAGCACTTCTCTACAAAATGACCCAAAATGTTGCTTTTTTATGATTTATGTATCTCATCTCTACAGTGGTTTATTTAGACCATACTATCCACTGAAACTAGTGTTCCTGGATCACGCTACCATGCCCATATAGTCACAGATATTTACTGTTTAAGCTGGAAGCACAAGTTTCTTCTATAGATCCAGCCGTTAATGCCTAAAGCCTGGGAAGCCTAAGCCTTGTACTCATTTAGGGGGTTAGTCACAAGGGCAAGCTGTGATTTAAATAGATTTTTTTTTTGAGCTTCTCTCTGATGAATGGAGAGAGGGATGCTCATTCAGAATTTTGTTCAAAAGACATACTGAACTCTAGGAGTTCATAATTTTCCTTTACTATCTGAGGTGCTAGCCAAATATCTTCTGTAAAAAGGATGCAAGTTTTGCTCTTTCACTGCTTCCTTCCTCCTTTTCAGTGCTATAAATTTCTGTGACAGTTCACAAGGTTAGTTTGACCTACAGTTCCTAAGCATCTGGAAAAAAAAAAAAATCACACAGTATCCTATTTGGCACACTGATATTGAAAGGAGAAAGTAAAGAACAAATCTGAAACCTACTATATGTTTTATTCAGAGTTCTGCTCCATATAAGTAGTTTTACGTGAGATGTGGAGATGTGCAAGGTTTTTTCTTGTGGTGAGTTTCTCGCTCGCAAATTAACTGTGACTTCTGTGAATGTGCATGTTTTCTAATTACTCTAAATTATTTGCAGTTGCTTGGAGGTCACCTCACTTTTCAGCTCACGCTTCTGATCTTCATGGACTCTGGCTGATTATCACATCTTATCTGTTTTATCCTCTAATCTGATGAGGAAAACTCTTTAAGTATGGAAAGTAATCTTGTTTATCAAGAATTATCCTTGCTTGTGTGTAAGAAAAGCCACTCTTTAAAACTTGTACAAAATCCTGCTCATATCAGATTTTGAAGATGGTCTATAATAAGAAAATATGAATGGAAGACACATGAATGCTGACCTACTCTCCCAGTCATTAGATGTCCCAATACATCAAAAACAGAAATGTCAGGATAGTCTATAAAGAAATACTATGACAAGTCCTTTGTGATGGATATTTCAAACAGCCTCAAGCTCTGTCCCATGCGGCTGTCACCTAGGCTATATAGCATATTTAATTCAGAACACAGGGCAGTACTAAAACCACATGAGTTCTCCTGCT